CTATTCATCCTTAAACCCTCTATCTTGATTGAATATATATTCCTACATGCCGGGGTATGTCTTAAGCACAGCACGAGCCAGGCAGTAAAACTATGACCAAGAAACTGTCGGTGTCAAAATACCATGTTATTTGATAGGCCGGGCAGGAAACAAAAGTTAACTGCCCGAGTTTACTGCCCAGGGCAATGACCTCTAAACTACAGTTTATCGCATTAGCCCAGAGGTATAATTGATAGGGAATGTATAATTGACATCATTATTGCATGATATTTGCCGCGTAAAATCAGAAAACTAACATTTTTTGGTAAAAAATATCTACTCTGCTTATCAAGGGTTTTGAAATGCTTAGTATTGGTTACAAAGCCGAAATTATGGCAAGATATGCTCCTATTAATCGAAATCCGTTATCGCTTGTTTCTTATCTTTGTTTGATATGTCCACTGATACCTTGGGCCTAAGTTATTGCGGTATTATTTGACAGTTGTAGTCCTTTCCTCGAAACAAACATGTAAAATATGGAAAATATAATGTATTTCACGAAAGTTTAGCCATAGGTCATCAACAAAGTATGATTACATAAATAAAGAAAAGATTTTTGCAAGAGCACTGGAAAATTCACGTTTAATCACTAGGAACATTATACCTTCTACCTTCTTCTTGTTCTTATGTCGTGGCAAATTATTCATGCATGATGTTCCTTAGATATCCAATTGTTGTGCCATTCTGAGTTGATATTTTCAGACGCGATTCTTTTTGAAGTGAGCCGAAGTATTTTGATGCATTTTCTTCTATAAATTTCCTTTAAAGCTTTGTCCACAGCAGTACGCAATCACTGTTCGGAAATTATGGACAAAACAATTGTATAATAAAAGTGTCACCAAAACCTGTCGAAACTACTTAGCATGTATGCGGCATGTAGGAAAACAGAGTCATCACCATGGCCTCATAGCACAAGGCCGACAATATTGCGCTGAGCTGACGCGGGCCACCGCAGTTGATGTGCCACCGTGGTCCCAGCCCCGATCCGTCTCAAGGAACAAGCCCTTCAGGCGCGCAACTGGTCACTTCATGAATCTATTCCAAATGAGTGGGTCTCCGCTTCAATCTTGTGGTTTACCGATTTATTCGTTTCGCCCAAACGTCTCATTTTCCATGTTTTGTTTTGTTTTGTAAGAGGAGCTGTCATCTGAAAGTTGATGCATTTCGGGATGAGTTGGGCTGTACCTTTTTATATCATTGTTTTTATTACTTATTTTACCTTTACCTTAATGACAAAGGACTTGCTCGAAAGATACAGTGAATGAATTAAAAAACATACTTAATTTACATTTACCTTTACGGAAAAGGGCCTCCTAAAAACATAAGATAATTAGATAAAAAACAATGATTTTTACGCGGATCAGGATGTGCATTTTGCACTCTTTTCATGTCGGCTTTTAGCCTCCATTCTATCAAACTTGTTTGCTGATATTCTTAACCCGCGCCGGGCCGGGGGTGTTTAACCCGCGCCCCGCTGGGCTATTCAGCCATACGCGCCCTGCTGGGGGGGGGGGGGCAGATTCTGCCCCCCCTGTCTAACTTCCGAACCGATGGTCGTAGAAAGACGGGGAAAACGGCAATCGAAAGCTCTCAACAAGGCGGATCTTAAGAGCCCAAATTTTTTTGCTTAAGTAGGTCAGAGGTCAGGTCAAGGTCAGGTCAAGGGTACAAAATGCAAGTTTCTACAGTATCGGCCTTGCACCGTAGTTGCCGAAGAATGGACTGAGACTGATTGCCCAAAACGTGTTCTTAGACTACCAAGACAATATTCGTTGCACACAATGTCATTCAAAGGTCAAGGTCAAGGTCAGGTCAGGTCAGGTCAGGTCACCAAAAACAAAATATAGAAAAGGGCATGTGCGACACATGTTTTATGGGTCATTTTACTCATGGAATTCAATAGGCACACTCAATAAGTGATATGGACCACCTCTGGATGAATTTCAGGTCGAGGTCAGGTCAAGGTCAGGTCAAGTGAGGTCAAATTTTGAAGTTGGTTGTTAAGGCCTAAAAAGGTGTCTATCCGATGCAGTTTTTCACGGCGAATCGAATGGTGCTATTTTTGTTTCCGTACGAGGTCTAGAACTTCCAAAAAAATCATTTTTCAAAAAAATTGTGCGTCGTGACGTCATAAAATTTTGAATAACTCCCACATTTTTTAACCGATTCTTCTAAAAATTGGTATGTAGGTGCACATAGACCACTTCTTTGACATATATTCCGGTTTTTTCGATAAATTCAAAATTTTGGATTTTATAAATATTTTCCCAAAAAAGTCAGTTTTTTGGAAAAATTTTGGCCAAAATCCAAAAATTTCAAAAAACCGAGATAGCCATTTGATAGACAAAGAAGAATCACGTATAACCTTTTTTGTTACGTCTTGATTCCTTTAAAAATGAAGATGTTAGCGGCGTTTGAAATTTTGCCGTTTTTGAGGCGAAAATGGCGAACATGACGTCACTAAAACGTCAATTTCTCAAAAATTTTCCGACGGATTTCGCTCAAATTTTCAGGGAACGTGTCAAATTGATGTATGATAAGGTACTGAAAGTTTGACGTTGCTGGCGTAACGCGTTTAGAAGTTATTGGCGAAAAACGGGAGGGGGGGCAGATTCTGCCCCCCCCCAGCGGGGCGCGGGTTAAACACCCCTCCCCCCCTGCGGTTTTTCGCAGATATCTCAAAACTGTTTGTGAATATTGTCCGCACATGTTCTGAAAATTTCAGACCCAGGTCGCCTTAGGTCAGGTCACCAGGTCACGCCAAGTGACCTCATCTCAGAAAAAATAATAATGCTCGTCATAGCTGCACCGATTGATCGATTGCCTTGAAAAGTTCAGCGATTGATTAAAACAACATTATCTATAAAATTCTCATCTCGAAATTTTGATATCGGTGACCTAAGGTCAGGTCAATTTTGCGGCCTCTCCAATATAAGTCAATGGGAGAAAATTGACAAGCGTCTGTTTTGCACGAGCGCTATTCTAGACACTCTCAAACATCGAGTCGAGATGTAGGTAACATTGACACACTGAACCGGAAAATGGCAGTTCTGTTATCCCTCGTTATGTCCCCGAGGTCATCTCAGGTCACGAACAGAATCTAACAGTTTTTCGCTAATAACTTCTGATAGAGGCGTGCTAGAGCGCTGAGAACGCCTTAAATGTGTTCGGCTCGACGTTGCGGATCGACTGATATGCAACATGACCTTTTCCTGTCAGGTCATGACCTTGACCTGAGGTCAAATTTTTAAGTTGACCTTTCAAGGTCAAATTATATTTCTGTCGACGCGTCTTAACGAGAGGAACACAATGCTGGCAAAAGTAATGTCATTGCTCTTTTGAGTCAAAAGTTATTGCCGAAAAAAACGTTTTTCGTAAAAACGGCTATTTTTGGAGTTTTTGCCCTCTGGAGGCTAAACCGTTGACCTGAGGTCAAATCTGAGCACAATACCCAGAAAGGTCTGTAAAAGAGCTATCGAATGCGCTTTTCTGCGGCGCTGTAGCTCTATTGGTTCCCGAGATAGCCGTCGGCAGTTTCCAAAATGTTGAAATAGTCAACATTTTACCATTGGTGACCTCTGGTGACCTGACCTTTGACCTGACCCAAAAAATGACCGAAGTGTTTTCGTCCTTATTTTGGAAGCTCTTTCGATTGCCGCTTTATGCGTGTCACTACGTGGCCCAGGAGCCGAGTTAGAAGGGGGGGGGGTGTTCAGACACCCTCCCCCCCCGGCCCTGCGCGGAATCTCAGAGCAACGGCCCGGCGCGGGTTAATTCGACGCCAAAAGAACTAATACCATTTTCGGGGCCAGATATTCAAAGAAGTCTTCATATACAGGCCACATTTTGGGGAGAGTGTTCCAATAATAGAATGCGTTATGTGCGCTACCGAGAGACTCCTGACATCCGCGCCAATAAGGGGCCTTCCGAGCTTCTTTTAAACGCCCATTGCGGGGGTCTGTGAAGTCACACCGTTCCGTCTTTTCCATCCCCAGGACAAGCAAAACCTTCTCCTCCACTTCCCAACCCCATGTTCCGGGCTGGACAGGAAACTGTATCCCATGTGGGAAGCTCCTAGTGGAGCAGGCCCGTAGCCGGGTGCAGCGAGTGTGTTGAGGAATGGGTGGCCTGTCCTCTGGATGGGCTCAGCCCCAACGATTCACTAGGGTACATACCCGCCCAGACCAATGTCTTTCCCTATTTCTTATCATCCTTCCGGCTCTGGAATGGTCCCGTCAGACCGAAAGAGCTTAACCCAATAATAAAGAAAAACTTTGAAGCTAATAAATTACCCCCGAGAGCCTTGGAGTCATCTGACTGTCCACCTACCTTTAGGGCCATTGAACACATAACGGACTGCTGCGCTACCGAGGCCCCGATAAGTGCTTGGTGGAGGATTTCTGAGCAGGTGGCAGATACTATGTAAACTACATGCAGGCCCTTGGGTGCATTACCCTTGACTTGAGCTGCTGAATGGACACTGAGATACCAGCTAACAAACCACTGAGCTACTAAGGGGTTCTTCGAGCCGCCAAAGAGCCCTTGAGCACCTGACGGCCCCTGAGCCACTATGGCATCAAAAGGCTCTCTGAGCTTAGTGTGGAACTCTGAGCTATTTGGGAGTTCTTGAGCTGCCAATGGACTGCTGAGCTACCAAGGAGCCCTTGAGATACCGAAGGAAGGACCATGAAAGCTACCGAGGGTCAGCCCGAGTGGTTGAAAGAAGACTTTACAGGCGGATGGCTGAGCCTTTTGAGCGAGTCACTGATGACATGTGCCATCTAAAGCACCAAAGAGCCCTAAAGCGCATGGTGAGGTCTCTTAGCTACCGAGGGGCTCTTGAGCTAACGAGAGACCCTCCAACCATACTACACTGCCCTTGATCACGGATATGAAGTGCTGGTAAGGACTCATTTATCTACCTCATCCCAGTTGTCACACTCCACTCCCTCTGTTTCAGCATGCTGACGGAGGAGCAGCAGGACTCGTCGCCGGTCGAGGCGGCCGCCAGTTTCGAGTCGGAGAGCGAGCTGAGTCTCTCCGACAGCGGCTCCCCCTGCGGCTCTCCCTCAGCCAGTCTCCAGCTGGACGCTCCACCGCCTCTGGTACCGTCACCCTACGGCGCGACGCCAGCGCCGCCCACCGGCGTGCGGCGGGTCATCAGAAAGCTGTTTACCAACTCGCGCGAGAGGTGGCGCCAGCAGAACGTCAGTGGGGCGTTCGAGGAGCTGCGCCGCCTGGTGCCGGCCCACCCGCCCGACAAGAAGCTCTCCAAGAACGAGATACTGCGCCTGTCGATCCGCTACATCCGACTGCTGACTTCGGTGCTGGAGTGGCAGGAGAGTCAGCTGGAGAACACGCCGCCGACAGCCCGGGTCAAACAGGAGGTCACCGAGACGGCCGGTTCGCCGCTCTGCCAGGACCCGCACCGCTCCGGCTGAGACCGGCTGAGACCCGCAGGGCGCAGCGGGCAGCCCGCACCGCTCCGGCTGAGCCCGGCTGAGACCCGCAGCCCGCACCGCTCCAACTGAGTTCGGCTGAGACCCGCACTGAGCCCAGCTGGGACCGGCTGAGACTTGCACTGCTCAGTGCTCCGGCTGAGTTCGGCTGAGACCCGCACCGCTCCAGCTGAAACCCCACCTGAGCCCAGCTGGGACCGGCTGAGACTCTCACTTGATCCGCAGCGTTCTGGCTGAGCCCGGCTCAGACCTGCACCGCTCCGGCTGAGCCCATCTGAGACTCGCACCGAACCCCTCTCGCTCCGGCTGAGACCAGCTGCTCCGCACCACTCCGGCTGAGCTGGTCTTAAGCCCGCAGCAGGCTGAGGTCCAAACAGCCAGACTGAGGCTCTCACTACTCTCCGACTGAGTCTCGGATTAGACCTGGGCACCGCTGTGGCTGGAATCCAAATAGACGGCTGAGTCCAGCTGAGTCCAGGCCTCAAATAGTCTGGCCGAGGCCCACACAGGTTCTGCTGGGTCCTGAGGCCCGTGCAGCACCGGCCTGAACAACAGCACAACAGCTTAGCCCAGCTGAGGCCTGAGCTGTCGTAACTGAGTTGGGTGGAGGCTCACAGTGCACCATTGGAGGCTGGCGGATAAAATTATACTGCAATACCTATGCCTAAATGGTGTAGCACCAGCCCAGTACATTTGAGGAATAGCTGATGTCTCGGCAGCCTCAGCTGGGGATATTTGGTGTGTAAGAGTACATTAATGTGTGTACGACTACACGTATGGTAAATGTTTGTTCTTGTGTGCATTCAGTGTAAGTACCTAATTGTAACTGCTGTCAGCGTGATATTTGATGTCGGTATTTATTTATGGCTGAAGCAGCGTCATTAACAAGTCGTTCCCTATAGTGATGACGGAAATATTCGGCGATGACGCGTTTTTACGGCGTCATTGTCCGGTGCCGATCGCCCACCTGGCCAATGTGACGTCATCGTCAGCTGGCGCGGAAGGCGGTGCTAAATCGATCGTCATTGGTTCTGTGTTCTGTGGTTGGTCATCGTCATTGGTTCTGTGTTCTGAGATCTGTGGTGGTTACGGGGAGAGGGAGGGAGGGGAGAGAGGGGAGAGGGGAGAGGCAGATGGTGGCCGGTAGCGCCTGACAACGCGTCCACCGGCGAAGTTCCGGTGGCACGTGCTCCTCCCCCTCCCCCGTCATCAATACCCCCTGGGGAGGGGACGGTCAATAGCCGGGTTGGTTTGGACTTTGGACGGTCCTATGTACCGCAGTACTGGCCAGGGACCTGCTGGTCGAGCATCGGTCGATAGTATAAATGATGATAGTTATGAACTGACATTATCCCGCACAACTGCAGCTCATTCCAGTAGCACGGATAAGGTGCAAATGCTTGGAGCAGTTGAGTAAATCCTGCAGTAACGAAATAATGCAGCAGTTCGCTAGGTTTCGTTGTAAAAAGGATACGCTACGACATGGAATAGGATTATATTATGAAAGTCAATGAAACATATCCAAAAATATCAGCCTGTATCGCATTAACAACAATGATTGATTAATTCCCATACAATCGCACGTTAAGGCGTCGACTTTAAAACACAAGTAGTCACCTAACAAAAGGATACGTGAAAGTTTGTCTCCAATGCGCTTTTCAGAAACGATGCTTAGTGATAATAATACATTAAAAAGTACTGCTTTTAATAAAATCTTTAAGATAAGAAGGTATATAAAGAACGTATATACTGCGAGCATGCCAATCCGCAGATAAACGTTTCTCGTCTTATTAGTCGCCTTCTGGCCGTTTTTCTTCTAGCTGTTTTTCGTATAACTATTATGTCGCACAGGAAGAGTGCCACCAATCATTCGGTTTTCCGTAAACACTCTGGTCCGTATAATAATAAAAAATATTCGAAATGGTGCTTACTTTTGTCAATGCAATCAAATAAAGCCATTACTCTTTTCAGGCAAAGATAAAAGGGGTCTTTTTAGGACACATTAGATGATGTAACTGAAAGAGATGGAAAAGGGCGCGAAAAAAGTATTTGATAGCCTCAAAAGACTTCTTTCATAAATATTTAGGTCCTTCCTAGCTCAGGCTACAAAGTCTTCTAAATGTTAAGAAGGTCAAATGTTCCCCATTCAGCACTTTTTAGTAAATTGATGAATAAGTCGTAAGCAAACATGCCCAAAAATGCTATACGAGGTAACTTAGCCTGGTGACCGTACCTGAGGTGACCTGGGTTCGGCATTTTAGCGCGGCCTGTCCAAAATATTTTTTTATTCACGATGTTCATTCGCGGCGCTACGCACCACGTTTTTCTAATGCATTAATATGAAACTGGCAATATGGCCTAAACACTTCTCCCCCTCTCACCCTCAACCCGCACACACACACACATATACACACCACATTTAAATTCGAAGTAAAAGTTTGGTATCCTCAGGGTATCTAAGGCATATATCAAGGAGTGCGTAAACCAAAAATGAGCCTGATCGGACTTGTCAGCCGGCGGCCAGAGCCTAAATTGTGAACAAGCAAAAATGCCGATAATTTTTTCTTTGACCTAACCTGGGACGTCATCGGTGACCTGGAGGTCAATGAAAATAGGTTTCGCTCGACAGTTTTTCCAGGGCTATCAGACGCCGTTTGAATTTTGACGATTGGCCGAGTAGTTTCGGAGAAAGGAGGTGGGGGGGGGGGGTTCTGGAGAGCCCCCTCCCCTCAGTCACTCGCGTTATTACGGAGCGAGCGAAGCGAGCGGAGTCTTTACTTAGATTAACGGAAATTTCTGAGTATGAGCGGCCGGCCGGCCGGCCGGCCGGCCGTGCGGACGCTTTTGCGAGGCTTATATCTCAGCAACCACTTGACCGATTTACACGCGGTAATTTTTGTAGGGTAGCTTCATTCCTTCTACCAAGTATTGGACTATTCCCGATGCATGTGGGTGACCCCTTATGCACGTGCCACGCGCAAAACGAAGAGGTGTCAGTTTTGCAATTGTTGCAATATTTCGGTAATTACGAGGCCGATTGCGCTGAAAGTTGGCATGTAGGTAGGCACCCACCAGGTACTGTATATCCATGTGCCAGAGTTGGGGTGCTGCTGCACGTGCGCACGTGCAGGGGTCGTTTCCAGATCTCGAGAACGGCTCGACCGATTGCGCTCAAATTTGGTACACAGTTAGGGACCGGTTAGTAGGGTGCCGTGCACAAGTCAGTTGGGACCCATTTTGCACGTGCGCACGTGCAGGGTGCCGCTTCCAGATCTCGAGAACGGCTGGGCCGATTGTGCTCAAATTTGGCACATCGCTAGAGACCGGTTAGTAGGGTGCCGTGCACAAGTCAGTTGGAGGTACCCCCTCGAAATTTCGCACGTGCAAGGCTCACCCTCTCGCTCGCTCCGTTAGTCGCCCCAAAAGGCGCTATACTGGTAGAAAATACCCCAGTCATGCGCGGGTTAATATTTGCATTCATGAAGGAATTTTGGCGCAAGGTCAGACTGAACACAACTTAGTTACATGCTCCGGAGACTGCTGCGTAGCAGTCAGTGTCCAAATAGCGAAAGTGAGCCGTTAGTTTTTCATGAACCATTTTTCCTTTTGATGGCAGCGTTTTCCTTGTTCTTCAGAGTAGCCACCACCATGAACTGTGATTGTTCACCGATGATTATCATTTCCCGGAATTCAGCTAAAAGGGTTAAACCGAGCACTGCTTGCCACACAACTCACAGTCCCCTAATGCTGTTATTTCGCCGGGTGTCGGGCGATACCAGAGCGCGCAGCCAAACCGGTCCTCAAGCGATTTTTGACAGTGGCTTGCAAAGGGGATTGTCCTGCATCAGTGCAGTGGTCAATTACTATGGCTCGCTGTCTAGCCTGCAAGTGTTAGCATGCAGACTGCAGAGCATTGTGCAATATTGAGCCCCGCAGAATAACTAATCCGCCTAGCGGAATCGGTCCTACGGGTGTGGGCGCAGTAAAAGCTGAACTGATGACAGCGGATGATTATGAAATGGTGCATCTCTGTAAGAAGGCCTGGCTCGCCACAATGGCTACATCAAATCGCATTTGACGATTCGAAGCAATTCCTGTGGCAGATATCGGTATGAAATTAAGGCATAAAAAAACAAACTTACTTTAATGAACACTTATCATTCCATGAAACAAACCATCAATCACCTAGCGAAACTCCAAATTATCTTATATCGAACTGCTTATGGCAGCATGGCCAATGCTTCTTCGTCAAATTTTCCGTTTCGGAGTCCACCACGCGCTCGTCGCCTCTGCCGCCTCCGCAGTCGCCGGCGGCGGCCGTCGTGACGTCAGCGACTCGGCGCCGTGACGTCACGGCCCGTTCTCCGCGCCAGCTGACCTCGCCGGAGCGGCGGCGGCGGCGGTGGCGCGGTGGCGGCACAAAGACGCACGAGTCGGTGAGGGCGGCGGAGCGCCGGCGGTCGGTGCGCTGCGGGGGCGGCTGCAGTGCGCGTGTGTCGGTGCGTGTGTGGTGTGCGGTGCAGAATGGCGAGCTGCTGAGCCGCCTGACGGGCCTCAGATGCCGTCGGAGATGGTGCAGCGACGGACCGCACCGCCGCTCGTGCTGGTGCTCGTGTTAGTGCTGGTGCTTGGAGCGAGCGTCAACGTCGCGAGAGGTGAGTCGTCATCCGCTGGGCGCTGGGTCCATGTACTGGCTTTGTTGATCTTCATGGTCAAATGTGGTATCCTGTGGGCTAGGAGTAAGCATTTGATAAGTATCCCACTTTGTAAATCTGGTGCTGGATCAGCTGTCAAATAAGCATTAGGTTACTTTGCATCCTTAGAGATCTACATGGTTGAGATATGTGACACCTCACTCCCCGAGTGGAACATGGGACGGCCAGCTGGTCTTTCCGACCATCCTGCCTATCGCAAAGCCTGCAGAGTGCACACAGAACGTCATGCTTGTTAGAAAGCAGCCCTCGGTCAGTCCCCGACTGGTTCTGCGGGCCGGCCGAGGGTGCGGCTCGCGTCACACGTATCTCCCCACCTATCAACGTGCATCGTGACCGGATCGGATCGGAACGGACCTTGGAGCCCGACGAGTCTGACCTCGGGATGGGGTGGACTGTGTGCCCACTGTGTCTGACCTCGTGGAGAAGACTGTGG